TTATTCCGAGCTGGGAACGGGCGGGGCTGAGAGGAACCAGGAGAGTTTTCCTCACAATAAAAAACCCGAGAGGAGGAACCGGGAGAAACCGGGAGGAACCGGGAGAAACCGGGAAAAACCGGGAGAAACCGGGAGAGGAGCCGGGAGAAACCGGGAGGAACCGGGAGAAACCGGGAGAAACCGGGAGAGGAGCCGGGAAAAACCGGGAAAAACCGGGAGAATCCCGGGAGGAACCGGGAGGAACCGGGAAAGGAGCCGGGAGAAACCGGGAAAAACCGGGAAAGGAGCTGGGAGAAACCGGGAGAAATCAGGAGGAACCGGGAGAAACCGGGAAAAACCGGGAGAAACCGGGAGAAATCGGGAAAGGAGCCGGGAAAAACCGGGAGAAACCGGGAAAAACCGGGAAAGGAGCCGGGAAAAACCTGGAATAACCAGGAGAAACCGGGAAAGGAGCCGGGAGAAACCGGGAGAAACCGGGAGAAATCGGGAATAACCGGGAGAAACCGGGAAAGGAGCCGGGAGGATCCCGGGAGAACCCGCGGGGCAGGACCCGGGAGAAACCGGGGAGAAACGGGGGAGGAGCCGGGAGAAACCGGGAAAGGAGGCAGGAGAAACCGGGGAGGATCCGCAGGGCAGGACCGGGAGAAACCGGGGAGAAACCGGGGAGAAACCGGGGAGGAACCGGGGAGGAACCGGGGAGAAACCGGGGAGAAACCGGGAGAATCCCGGGAGAAACCGGGGAGGAACCGGGGAGGATCCGGGGAGGATCCGGGAGGAACCGGGGAGGATCCGGGGAGGATCCGGGGAGGATCCGGGGAGGAACCGGGGAGGATCCGGGGAGGATCCGGGGAGGAACCGGGGAGGATCTGGGGAGGAACCGGGGAGGATCCCAGGAGAACCCGCGGGGCAGGAGCTGGGAAAAACCGGGAGAAACCGGGAGGAACCGGGAGGAACCGGGAGAATCCCGGGAGAAACCGAGGAGGATCCCGGAGGAGCCGGGAGGGTCCAGGAAGGATCCCGGGACGATCCCGGGAGGATCCACGGAGGGTCCCGGGAGGATCTGTGGAAGGTCCTGGGAGGATCCCGGACAGCTCAGCCATGGAGGGTCCTGGAAGGGTCCACGGAGGGTCCCGGGAGGGTCCGGGAAGGATCCCGGCTGGCTCAGCCGTGGAGGAGCTGGGGACGATCCCGGGAGGGTCCTGGAAGGGTCCCAGGAGGATCCCGGGAGGGTCTTGGAAGGGTCCACGGAGGATCCCGGGAGGGTCCTGGGAGGGTCCACGGAGGGTCCACAGAGGGTCCCAGGAGGATCCATGGAGGGTCCTGGAAGGGTCCACGGAGGATCCCGGGAGGATCCCGGGCAGCTCAGCCCCAGAGGGTCCTGGGAGGATCCATGGAGGGTCCTGGAAGGGTCCCAGGAGGATCCCGGGAGGGTCCTGGGAGGGTCCAGGGAGGATCCCGGCTGGCTCAGCTGCAGAGGAGCTGGGGAGGATCCCGGGATGATCCCGGGAAGGTCCTGGAAGGGTCCCAGGAGGATCCCGGGAAGGTCCTGGGAGGGTCCCGGGAGGATCTGTGGAAGGTCCCAGGAGGATCCCGGCCGGCTCAGCCGCAGAGGGTCCAGGGAGGGTCCCAGGAGGGTCCAGGGAGGGTCCCAGGAGGATCCACCGAGGGTCCCAGAAGGATCCACCGAGGGTCCCAGGAGGATCCACTGAGGGTCCCAGGAGGATCCACCGAGGGTCCCAGGAGGATCCACCGAGGGTCCCAGAAGGATCCACCGAGGGTCCCAGGAGGATCCACGGAG